CACACACACGGTCCAAGCAGTCAGTCGTCCGGCTCGGTGACACACTGCTCCACGATCTCTCTCAGGTTGGGGTTCTCCATGGCGGCTGCCACTCGCTCCTTATCGTTGATCTGTTTGTTAACTGAGACAAAAACACAGACGACACAAACGTTCTGACAACTGGACCACACCGGAAACCCGCACACGTGCCGCCTCCTCCTGTAATGTTTGAGCTGGAATAACCTCAGAGAGCGCCGCTTTCTAGGACCTCTGCTGTTGCTCCCAGCTCGGGTTTATCTGAGTCTTTGTAAAGATTTCACCACATTTCTGAGTAACTCAGAGCTGGATCAGGTATCAGCGTCAGTGGGATCAGTGCTGTGGTTTCATCAGATTCAGGGTTTTAATGGTTAATGACACCATGTGCTCTGAACCACTTGCTCATGTCTGTGCTGTAATGTTCATGCAGCATTTTAGCCTCTTGTCTCTGCACTTTATTGCTCTGTGGGGATTTTTAGCTCTTCACTCTCACCTGTTGCTGTATTTTGTCAGTTTGCTCCATTTTTTAAAAGTCGTTCATGTAACTTGTCAGTACAGATAATCTCTTGATATTATTTTTTTATCTTGCACCGTCTACATGCTAATACCTTTACACGTTGAGCACTTTAATCCCATAGTTCTTAAGTTTTGTGTAAATTAAACCTAAAGACTGTCAAAATAATAGTAACCATAGGAACCTGTGCAGAGCCGGGGTAGCATGTGACTAAAACAGTAGGACAGGGTTAGGAGCAAAGTCAGACGTGTAAAGTAAATACCATGAACGTCTTGGCTTCTAACAGCAGATTCAGGTAAAAGACAATCTGTAGTTTCTAAAAGCTCAGATCCTTCTGAACCCCTGCTGTCTTTACTGAATACGTCTAGCTGCGTGTTCCACACAATCCATGAAAATGCCTTTCAAAAATAAATGAGGCAGACTTACTATCTTCTTCGGTAGAGTGTGTTCCTTCCGAAATGTAAATTTCCAACTGAGAAGGCAAAGAAAAAGAAGCGTTGTTAACGGGCTGCTTGTTTCAGAATCATTTATCCAGCTTTTATTCAGTTAACAGAGGATTTGAAAGCCCGGCTCTACAAAAAAAAAGCGAGAAACACAGAGGAAGGTGGTTTAGGATTAGAAACTCGGAGAGCAGAAATAAAGCAGGATTTCTGCAGCTCAGAGAACAACAGACGCCATTCATCGTTTAAAACTCAACTTTGAAACGTGAACGCTGCTCAGAGTGTGATAAAACTGAAATCTGACGGTGCACAGCGTGAACCCTCGATGACTGAGACCGCTCTCAGATGACTGGTTTCAGTGATAGGACTTGGTCCCCAATGGGCAGAGAAACGCTATCATGTGGCAGGAAGACAACGCTGGAAACTAACAGAGCTTTGTCCAAGAGAACATCTGGGGCCGGTGTCCTGCAGGTTTTAGATCTCACCCTGGGTCAACACACCTGAATCACATGACTTCATTACCAGGCCTCTGGAGAACTTCAGGACATGTTGAGGAGGTCATTTAGCCATTTAAATCAGCTGTGATGGATCAAGGACACATCTAAAAACTCTTTTAG